GGGCTCTGCGTGGGCGGACCGTGTAGTTCCTTAGCTACTCGTGAGACCACTATGGATTCAAACTTAAAATTAAACTTAGAGAACGAAGTGAAAAATCGGGAGGGCTCACGTGACGGCTCTCCGAGGGAAGGAGCTGAGACGGTGGTGACGGACGGGACCCTTAAGGGCTCCGGAAGTGAGGCCGGCCCGGCTGCGCGGCAGGAGGCTTCACCTCCAGCGAAGAAGAATCGGTGCGGGGCCAAAAAAAGGAGGGCGAAGCGGATGAGAGCAGCGGCTCTGGAAGGGACTCGCTCTCTTCCCGTGGCTCCTCCTTGTACGCCGGTGGAGATGGTGAAGGGGCACGCCGATGGTAAACGTCGGAAGGGCTCCAAGGATACCCCTTCATTCGGGCGGCCGTCCGCTGAAGAAGCAAAGGACTCACGACGGGCATCATGCCTACTCGGACGCTGCTGACCTTCTGGCGAGGGTGATTGTGGCGGAGGGCTACCCCAAGATAGAGATCACTGCTGAGCAGTTGACTCTGTTGAAAGGTGCGGTCTCGAAGGAGATCGACGGGATCCAGGAGGGTCCGGTGCCCAGATTCCACGGCACCTCTCTAAGGAGTGGTGCGGCGGTGGTAAGATGCGCGGATGAGGCGTTGCTGGGTTGGCTCGTGGGGCGGATCGGCGGCATCATTCCGTGGGAGGGCGCCAGGCTCAAGGTGATGGGCATAGACGCGCTTCAAAAGCAGCACAGGGCGGTGGTTTGGGTCCTGGGACCTCCCGAAGGCGCGGCCACGGTGCTGAAGCGGCTGGAGAAACAGAACCCAGGTCTCGTCACCGGGAGCTGGAAAGTGTTCGCGGAGGGGATAGGGGCCACCAGGGAGGGTGGGAACCTAGTCCTCGGTGTCCCGGGGTCCAGTGTCCTCAAATTGAAGACACTGGACTTCAGACCATTCTTTGGGCTCGACAGGGTTGTCTTTCGGGTAAGTGGGGCCCAAGGGGGGGGGTAAAGGGGGATAAGGGAGGAGCTCCCTAAAAACTGTCTCGTAGTTAAATGGCGGGATCGAGAGGGGTGGCCTTCACCCAGATTAATCTGCATCACAGCAAAGGGGCCTTGGTTGTTTTGGCCAAGCAACAAGCTGGGAGGCAAACATGCATATCACTGATGCAAGAACCCTGGGTAATCCGAGGTTGCATCAGGGGCTTGGCGGCCTGCGGTAGACTCTTTAGGCCCCATCAGTGGATCGGCCCAGGGCCTGCGTGGCCGTCAAGGGTATGGAAGCCCAGCTAATACCTCACCTGTGTTCCAGGGACGTTGCGGCTGTAGAAGTGAATTCACTGATGACTCCGGTGACAGGAAGAAAATGGTTATTTGCTCGGCCTACTTTTCTCATGACGAGAGGGAGGCGGTGCCGCCTGCACCGGTGATAAAACTGACAGAATACTGCCAGGAGAAACGGCTTCCCTTGATCATGGGATGTGACGCTAACGCGCATCACACCGTGTGGGGAAGCTCGGACACCAACGAAAGAGGGAGAAAAGTGTTGGAGTTTCTAGCGTCTACGGATCTGGAGATCCTCAACACAGGAGACGAGCCCACCTTCTGCACTATAGCGAGAAGAGAAGTGCTCGACATCACTATCTGTTCCAGGCAGTTGATACAGGAGGTTGTGGAGTGGAGGGTCTCGACGGAGCCCTCGCTCTTTGACCATAGGCAGATCACCTTCAGGATAGCTAAGGCTAGGGGGAAGGAGGTCAAATTCAGGAACCCGAGGAAAACCAAGTGGGACTCCTATAGGGAAGACCTGGCCAACAGTCTCAAAGGCTTTCCTAAAAGGCACGGGACAGAGGACGAACTGGAGACCTGTGTGGACTACTTGCAGAGGTCTCTGGTAAACTGCTACGAAAGTAATTGCCCCGAAAGATCGGTTACAAATAGTAGAGGAACTTTCTGGTGGACCCCTGGACTGCAGGGTCTCAGAGTGGCGGCTCGTAGGGCCTGGAACAGAGCCAGGAACACGGGCCGCCAATCCGACTAAAAGCTCTCTAGGAGGGCACAGAAGGAATATAGAGACTCTGTGGTTAGGGCGAAACTAGAAAGCTGGATGAAGTTTTGCGAGGAAGTAGAGGGAATGCTTGAAACGGCAAGAATCTGCAGGATTCTCGCTAGGAACCCGGATGCGACTCTGGAAGCCATCGCACTCCCTGATGGGACGGTGGTGACTGGAGAGCGATGTCTGGAGCATCTACTGGAAGTGAGCTTTCCGGGCTTCCATAGGGAGCCAGGAGAGCTATTTGCATATAAGGAGCCGGGCTCACTCAGAAGAGCCCGACAAGCGGACTGGCGAATGGCGGCCAAGATTGTCATGCCCGAGAAGGTCAAGTGGGCAATTAACACCTTTAAG